CCCAATCATCTGGTTTCTCTTCTGCTGTTTGTGCATTTTGAATTATGCTTGGTAGTCTATTTATGCCCTATACTAAGGCAGAAGTGGGCACATTTTATGTTTTTAGGGACGGGAACTTGGTTTTGGATGACTCGAGATGCTGACAGCAGAGTTGGGTTAGCTTTTTAGCAAATATAGGTAACAGATTTCCTTCTTACATCTTTCTTCTCCTGTTATCCCTACCACCATTCCTGAGACTTTGGGAGCAGAGTGCCTCAGGTGGCCAGGGTAGACTGAGGATGCTGGCCCCTGAGTCTTTTGCGGAGGGTAGTGACAAGCTGTGGGATGTCTGGACGGATACAGTTCCCTTGGAGACTGGCTGCCTGAGCTAGCTGGCTCCTTTGATTCTCCTTTTCATTTTCTCTCTTGAGAATCAGTAACGCATCTTCCCTTCCATGGCTTTCAGCCGTCACTGAGCATTCTTTCCTAAGCCACTGTTGAAGTCAGTCTCAAAGGTCTTCCTTACTTCTGTCCTTAAAACAGGGACATTAACATTTGAAGTATTTTATGGTGTTTAGTTTGGAAAATTATGTCTCTTTTTCCTCCTATTTTTACCTTTTTAAAAATGGAGAATAAATTTACATATTGTTAGAATGGTGATACTCAAGTCCATTTTGGTGAAAACCACCAATTCAAGTCCCATCTCAGTGACTCAGTGTGAGAACTGGGAGATGGTAGTGAGACACAGAATTGGGTCTTGGAGAAAGGTATGGGTGAGTAGGCTGGCACAATAGTAACAGGTGGTAAAGGGTGAGGACCGAAAGGTTGAGGAGAGAGGTGGAGGGTTGAGCAGCACATGTTAGGTAATGTTCAGAATATATTGCGACGTCAGCCTGGTCCGAGGTTGCCCGTGGGAGAAGTTTCAAATGCAGGATTCCTTCTCAGGACACTTGTCACAAGTACCTGGTAACTAGGACTAAGGTATTGTATTTGGACCTTGTGGTTATCATAATGACTAACATGGGTGTCCTATTTTGAGGGACAATAATCTTAAAAAATATTGCTTTGTAAATTTCAGATACTTGATACATTTAAGTTCTTGTTTTAAATACAGAGCAGACTTTTAATTTGATAAAATAAAAATGGGCTGTGTTAATTCCATTTAAAGTTTTAAAAATAATTTAAAAACATTTTATTATGGAAAATTTAAAAATATCATCATAGAATGATATGATGAACCTTCATGTACCATAGCTTCAGTAGTTATAAACCTGTGGTAGGTCTGATTTCATCTATTGAAAAAAACAAACCGTTTGCCATGGAGTCGATTCTGACCCATAGTGACAGTATGAGACAGAGTAGAACTGTTCCATAGGGTTTCCAAGACTAAACATTTTTAAGTGTAACTGAAAATGAAATCATAAGCTATTGCATTTCCATATATACAAGTCATTAGGGTTTTTTTTTTTTTTCTTTATTTCATACTTACAGATGCATTGTTATTTCCACAGTGAATATATGAACATTATACTTCATTGATTGATTTTATATCCTAAAAAATTTGCCCTTTTAATTTTGTATATGCTGGATTGAGAATATAAGGAAAATTAAATTCCTGGAATAAGTGTGTTCTTTGTGTTCAGTAGCAGCTAAATTTTTTTGTATGTCAATATTAGCATAGTTGCCTTCTTCTGTAATTAAGTGCTACTTTAACAAACAAAGCAGTAAGTTTAAAAATGTATTTCTGAACTCTTAAGTCTCAGTCCAGAGTACTGTGGTTTTCCATTTATACTTCATTGGTATATTCCACAGTCAAATTACACTTGATGTAATTTTCATTTTATATTATCTTTATACATGACAGTGGCAAGTATTTTTGTTGTTCTAACTGATAAGTAGGAACTAGTGAACTGTTGCTTGTTCCCAACGCAGATGTATTCTGAGGGGTTTCAGTGTAGTTACAGCCTTGTCCACGTTTGCCTGCCTTTGTGATCTTTGTCATTCGTTTACAGTACCTGATATTTGTGTATGTGCCAGAAAGCGTCTTTTTTTTTTGGTGTCCTCTAATTCTCAACTGTGTTCTCTCATGGATCTTTTACCTAGTGTCTGGGATAAAATGTCAGTAATTCCACACATTTTATTATATTTCTTTGTAAGTGAATCCCAATTGTTATTATGTCTTAGATGTATTTATTAATCACTTCATATGTATTTCTAAATAATAATTTCCTCTAACTCTAGCATATAATTCATTTTGGCTACAAATGTTAAAGTAAAAATATGACAAACGTGCTGAAATTTATGTCTGTGTAGTTTATTTTGTTTTAATTTCTGAGTATAATAGTGATTGTAATGGCTCAATGCCTTGTTTAGCTGATGTGTTCTTATATCATAGGACTGTTTTTGCCTTAGTTATATTTCTAATAAGGTTGTTCATTCAAGTAAAGACATATCTGTTGTGAAGTTAGCTTGGCAGTCTTGCTTGCTTTTTGAGTTATTTCCTTCTTAGTTTTTTTTTAAATGTAAAATTATCAGAATTGCCAAAAAATTATTTCTTTCTCTTCTTCCGTTTATGTTTTGAACCGTGATGGATATATTAAAGTCAAGCTGCCGTTGAGGGTTGTTTTTTGGTCTGAACATTTTGAAAATACACCTTGTGAGATTTTACTTCTATGATATAAGTATATTGCCAGTAAATGAATCCATGTTCTTAGCTCTTGCATAATAAGCTGGGTTGTTTTTATGTACCGCTAAGCAATTCCTCCTTTCACATTTCTCTGTTTCCACACAGGTCCCCATGCTGATACCGCCAGTGGATGCCAGAACTTGCAGTGTGGTTTTCGGGCCTGCTGCCGCTCTGGCGAGTGACTCTTGACTTCTCACCTGTGTCTACTTCATTTACTGAGCAGGCTTCCTTTCATGCACTTTACTTGTAGCACATTTCTGGTGTTAACCATCCCTTCCTGAGGGTGACTTGTCTTGGCCCTATTTCTTACAACCTCAGAAATTGGAACTCACCAGTCAATTGTATAGAGTTGCTTCTCTTGCACACCCTATTGTTGTTGCATAAGGGGATGAGGTTTTCTTTATAAGGATGAGAACACTTGTAACAGATTTCTTTTAAATGAAGATAAAATCCTTGGAAAAGAATGTCACTAATGCCATGCCACTTAAAGTATTTTTCAGATTTTCTTGAGTTTGAAAGTCAGGAGATTATTGGTTCTCTTTCCACATAAACACTGTACCAGGCTTTGCAGGTTTTTCAGATGTACATTTTGGAAGGTTTATTTTCAGAGACCGTACATTGGGGAAACCGGTCTCTCTCATAATGTTTCCTTTTTTTGAACAATTCTCAGAGGGCCAATACAAGCATACCACACTTAAGATTCTTGAAGATTCTAGAATAAGTTGGTTTCTTGGTGTTAGCTTGGTGAGCTAGCAAAGCACCATTGTATTTGTGTTTGTTTTCTTCCAAGACTTCAGGTCCCTACTACTGTTCATAAATTGCCAGATCGACTGGGGAGGGGATGGATTTTTAAAAGTTCCACAGTTATTTGAAGAAATGTATAAATAAAATTACTTTGAGGACTTTACCAAGTAAATAACTTTGGTGTTTCGGTTTGGTTACTGAACCTCAATCTGGGTTTATGTTAGTGTAGAACACTACTAAACATTTTGTCTTTTGATCTCCTGTGAAATCATGACCCTGACAATTAAACACTTTGGGCACACACCTAATTGTGTTGAGCTGGATCTCCTTTCTTCGTATTATTTGTGCTCCACTCAGAATTTGAATTTGTAACTTTATTTTCGTTGCTTTTTGAAAAATGAATGGGAATGGACGTCGACCATTCAGAAAGGTACAGACTGAGTTAATTGTATGTCATACCAGAAGAGAACAGCAGGGACATGTCATGTATTTTTATGAATGCTTACAAGGCTGTGGGACGGAAAGGAATCTCGGAATCTTGTCTGCGTGACTCCAGGTGTTTGCGTCATTGGTGGGGAAAGGGGATATGGGGGAGCTATACTGACATTTCTGTTCATGGTAGAAGAAAGCTCTGTTTGAGACGGAGTTGCGTAAAGATAAAGGAAGAGCCGTTAACCTTCTGGGAGAAGATCAGCTCTATGGGAGGCTATCAGACCACATACTCTTGATATTTCACCTTGCCTTTTTGGTCCCATTGGTGTTAGCATTTGTAAAATACAACAGGGACCACTGCGTGTTTCTTGCATGTAGGGTAGGACATGTGTGTAAACTGCCATCTTACTTTCTGAGTTCTTAAGCTTAAGAAAGGAGCTCGGGTGGCATAGTGCCTGAGGCGTTTGTCTACTAACCAGAGGGCTGGTGGTTCAAATCCACCAGCCACTTCTAGGAAGGCAGGCGGTTGGGCAATCTGCTTCCGTAGTGATACTGCTTCGGAAACCCAAGGAGGGGTTGCTGTGAGTCGGATCCAACTCCACGGCGGTGCGTTGCATTTGTTGCAAGCTTAAGAAGTCTTGTCCCCTGTGGCACCACCACACTCATCTTCCTCGTCAAATTCTGGCCTGAGTACAAAGAGCAGCATAATTCCTTGATTTCTTCAGAGTGCTTGGAATGAAATTTGAATTTAGTGAGCAGTTTCAGGAAAGAAGAAGCTCCTTTGTGTAAGGTTTACCATTTTGTGAGCCCTA